TATGGAGCACAAGTTCCCTCAAATCAAGCCCCATCCCTTCAACAAGGTATTTTATGACCCCCGTACCCCCGGTCCGTAATGGTGCTGACCGTACTAGGTTTTCCGTAAGGCGCCACCCGAGGCTATTGACCTCATCTCCGCCCTTCTGGAATACACCCCGACACAACGGTTGTCCGCGGTGGAAGCCATGTGCCACCCCTTCTTCGATGAGCTCCGCGACCCCAACACTCGGCTACCGGACTCGCGCCACCACAACAACCCCCCTAAGGATCTCCCCGCCCTTTTCGATTTCTCACAACATGGTACAATCTCCCGCCCTCTCTAGACACAACCCCCACTAATCCACCATCTAGAACTTTCGATTGCCCCTGAACTCAACGCCCAGATGATTCCCCCTCACGCTCGCCCAGCCCTCGAAGCTCGCGGCCTCGGCCTCGATACCTTCAAACCCCTTACCAAGGAGGAGATGCTTGCACACCTTGATTGAGTTGACCAGAGAGTGTCCTCCGCCCTCCGCGAGGGATACGTATGTTCGTTGTGCCGCCATCTGCACTTTGCGTGAGATTCGACCTGCCAACCAAGTTCCATGATCTCGGGTAAGCTCTGAATTGAGATTGCACTGCCTTGTCTTTTTTTTCTTTTTCGTCGGGGACTCGGTATGCCTCCGCCCCGGACATGGTGGATCCTTGGAACTGGAATGAGCAGGGAATGGTATGAGATGGGAAAAGTGCATCCTTTAATGGCTGGGAAGCGGAAACCATGTTTCTTCGGGGTGGTAAAGGTTGATGGTTTTCACGCAATGGGAGGTCATGGCCTGGAGTTTATTTTGAGGTGTCTGAGACAGCTCTCGGGAGGAAAAAGTGATACCCTTTCTGTGCACGTCTGCCTTTGGGGGTCGGACACTGCATAGTTTCATCGGTCGAGGGGAAGAACCTCCAGACGCAGCAAGTCGATCTCGCCTCCGGAGGGGTGAATCTTCCCACAAATGCATCGGAGATCTTGAAGATTTCTTTGGATACACGCACGTTTAGGGAGGACCCTTCTATGGTCAATCTCTCGTCTTGCAGCGCTAGAATCCCCGTTCGTTCTTCCCTTTGCGTCCTTGCTTTCTTTTTTTTTTGTTCGCAATATCCTTGTATCAGATTCATCGGGCTCGGCTGGTTCCCCGGTCCTCCGACTTACCGGCCATGAGCTATATGTCATTCCAGTTCTCAAGCAGACAATTTTCTTTTTCTTTGGGGTAATGCGTAAAGAATCAATAGGATTTGAACGGTGTAATTTTCTAGTATGTGAGGAATATTCAATTATCCTACATTGTCTAATACCTATGTAGTGACCTAGTAGTGTCGTTCGTTACATGTCTGGTCCGTTGAGATACTTCCCGCAGGGGCACCGGGTCCGGAACTTCAATTTCCCCTTCCGAGCTCCCCATTCACCTCAAGCTAGCTGTCACCCTCGTTTTCTACTTCCCCAGAATCACTGTCTCTACGATAGCAATCTGGTATTACACTGGCTCATTGGATTGATTCCAGAACATAATGGCCGAAAACGACCGACGAAACCAGGGCTACAGGGGTGGGCGCAAACGTCGCTACAGAGGTGAGAACATGAATCTAAGCTTCCCAAACAACACGCTAACTTGGCTGTAATTCTTACAGATGATGATGACTTTGATCGCCGCCCCCAAAGACGCAGATATGAAGAGCCATTGTTCGTCCAGGTGCGACGGCAGTTGTTGACCATCGCGGAATCGGTACGCGCCTCGTTTTTTTTTTTTTTTCCGCCGCGCGCATTGCGCTCTACAAATGGTGGATATGAACTAACGCTTATGTCTCATTAATAGGCTGCTCGCAGAGCAGAAGATGACGTCCAGGGTATTGCGAAGACAGTCACGGATAACTACGACGACGAGGAGATCCGCCGCGACTTTGTCAACATCTCCCTTGATCTGTACGTGTCGGTGTACTCAACCACTTCGGAGTATTACTAACTTGGATATCTGCAGCGTTCTCGAACAACCCATGAAAATTCCTTTTATCGCCGGCACGGTCCTGGTCGCACATGGTCTCAAGCCTGAGCTTGGATCCGAGGTTTTGAGCAAGGCAGCTGAGGCCTTGCAGAAGTATATCGACATTGGCGCATGGCGTGAAGTCAAGCTTCTTATTCGCTTTCTGGGTATTCTCCAGCCAGTCTATGAGGGTGATGGCATCTTCCCTCTTCTGGAAGAGCTGTTCGCTCGTGCAGTCGATCTTCAGACTGCCTCTTCGGAAGATGTAAGTTGGGATTAATCGACCTGTGATGTGAACCTCATCTAACAGCTTCTAGCTTCTTGGCCTTGAATTGGTAAAGATCATTCAGTTCACCATTCCTTATGTCATGCTGTCCCCCGCCACTGGCTTCGAAGCCCAGGCTTCCGCACTTCTGGAGAAGACCGACATTATTGCGTCTACGCCGCACGCCCTCGTCGATCTGGTGAACACATTCAGCCCCGAGGAGAATCAGGAGGCAGCTGGTCAAAGTGTTATCAGTTTGATGCAGACTCAACTTCAAGGGGAGGCCAACCGGGGCTGGGAGCTTAAGTGCCTCCCTCGTCCTTGGAACGATGTCCCTGACGCCGAGACGGATGAGCCCAAGTCTTTCGAGTCGGTGACCAAGGTTCCTTTCCCCACGATCACCGTGCCTAATCCTGTACCGAACGGCGCGCGTCCTCTCTTCCCAGAGGTCTACCTTTCGGTGTATGCCAACCAAGAAGTAGACACCGTCCCTGCGATCACAGACATCTCCTCTTCGCTTATTCGGGATGCACTGGTAGACACCATTAACCTCCTTGACTTCAACCGCGTTGCTACGGCCAAGTTCCTGATCGATATCGACTGCTATTTTACCTCTACCACATTCGTGAAGCGCGCCACGCCTTTCGACCGAATGCGCGAGCTCATCGGAGAGGTGCAGCCGTGGAAGCCCGAGGATGTGGCAGTGGACGCAGTCTTCTCGCAGCTATTCCAATTGCCAGCGTCGGAACACAAACTGGTCTACTATCACTCTGTTCTCACCGAGTGCTGCAAGATCGCCCCTGCAGCAATTGCGCCGAGTTTGGGTCGTGCAATCCGATTCTTGTATAACAGCCTGGAAACAATGGATTTGGAGCTTAGCAACCGTTTCCTGGACTGGTTTGCGCACCACTTGAGCAACTTTGGGTTTACATGGAAATGGAGCGAGTGGTAAGTCGACAATGTCAGCTTCTACACGGTGTAATCGGTCATTAACAATTTCACAGGGCCGACGATCTTGATCTGCCCTCCATTGATCCAAGAATGGCGTTCATCCATGGTGCTTTGGACAAGGAAATTCGGTTGAGCTTCGCTCAGCGCATTAAGGGAACTCTTCCTGATCCCTACCCCAAGTTGATCACAGCAGGCAAAGAGAAGGATACCCCGGAATTCAAATATTCCTCCGAAAGTAAATTTAATTCGTGGCCCAAATGGCAGAGAATGTGGCTAACCTGAACTTCCAGTGGCACCATATTCCAAAGAAGGACAAGAACTCATGCAGCTTATTCGGAAGAAGGCTAGCGACGAAGAAATCCAGCCCGTCATCACCGCCATTGAAGACCAGGCCAAAAGCCAGGGCGTTGACGACCCCAAGATCCCCTCGACAGATGCATTCGTAACATCACTCTGCTTCGTCGGGTCGAAATCGCTCTCTCACGTTTTGTCATGCATCGAACGGAGCAAAGACCGTCTTCTGGCCATCGGCACGGAATCGCCACACGCCCGCTGCCAAATAATCACCTCCGTCATGGAGTACTGGGTCGATCAGCCTGGTATTGCTATCAACATCATCGACAAGCTGCTTAACTACACCATCCTCAGCCCGCTCTCCGTCCTCGAATGGGCTCTCTCCGAGTCTGTCGCGGCAGGAACCATCCTCGCAAAGCCCCACATCTTCGAGATGATCTCCGCCACCGTAGGCAAGGTCACTAACCGCATGCGCCAGATCGTCGCCGCCCGCGTCCAGCCCGGCCTCTACGAGCCCCAGCTTAGCGTCATCGACGAGACCCTCGCGAGCGAGCGCACAGACATGCAAGCCCTCTTCAAGTACATCGAGGACTCTATCGTCTCCATCGCCGCGGGAAGCAACGATGAGCTGATGGAGCGCGGTGATGGCAGCGGCACTCTCCCCGAGGACGCCATCATCCGCCAATGGGGTCGTCGCTGGCTCCGCGTGTTCCGGAGAAAAGCTGCCGTCGAGGAATCCTTCATCTCTGATGCCCTGGCTAACGCCACTCCCCTCGGCACCCAGGCCCCGCCTGTTTCTGTGCGGGAGGGTGCTGCGGATGGAGATTTGGATATTGCCGATGCCGATGCGCAATAGAGCTGTCACAAATATGGATGCCATCTCGATGAGGTATTAGCTTATGCATGCTGCGTTCTCGCATTTGATCTCTTTGAGCTTTTTCATTAAATGACTTATGTCCCGGAGAGCCTTTTTCTGCCTTTTTCTCCATTGCTCCTCTGTATTGTACACTCCAACTCCGGGTCTTTGAATGGCTGACAGAAATATGAAAATCTCTCTCCGATTATTCCAAATTAACCTTTCTCGATTCTTCTCGAGACACAACGAATATGCGGGTTGCCGACCTACACCACTGAAGTTGTACAAAACTAGAAAAAAAAAAAGAAACACCCCAAGACCATGTTGATTCAACCGTACAACCCTAACGCGGGGATATCCCAAATTCAAAATACATATGAAAGTCTTCGTAAATCGTGTACATCTTGATAAACCCAAAGGAAAAGAATGAGAAAAAGAGTGAAATCCAAGTAGGACTTGGATCCAGAAGACAATGAGATAGAACAATAACAAAAAGGGAATTAATTGTGGAAGCCACATGGAAACCAGTAAGAAATAAGAACAGGGATATCAGAAAGGGGTCATCAGTAGATAAATACAAAGCAATATAAAAAAGAATGAAAAGAAATGTCCGAAACCAAACCCAATCAATGCCCATGACCATGGCTATGGCCATGAACATGAACATGAGGCTTGCGCTCAATATAATAGGAATCCCCATCATCGCCATCACTGCTAGAAGTATTATAAACGGAGAAGCCATCCTCAAAGCTCCCACGGCGCATCTGCATCTGCAACTGCATCTTCGAAACGCCCTCCTCAGACCCAACAGACTGTATTCGGTCCATGAGGACTCGATCCACGGGGGCACATCTACTCTTTGGGTCAGACCGTCTCGTCATTGAGATTCGCCGGTCCTTGCCACGGCCCTTGATGCCCTTGTTGCTGTTTTTGTATAGCCCGGCGAAATATATCCAGAGATCGCGATCTGCCGCATTCATGTTCATCGGTCCATTCTCGGCCATTTGTGAGAACCGGATCGTTAGATTGTGGAGTGTTGCTGCGTGGAATTTGTTTTGGTGTGACTGTTTTGGGATAAGGGGTTAGTTAGCATGGGTTGGCTTAAACGGTGGTGTTGTATGGAAGTATTGATGGAGGGTTATCATAAGGAGGACAAAAACTTACCTTGAGGTTGCCTAACTGGGTGAACTGCTTGCCACATTCATCTAAACGGCAGTCAAACCGTTTAGATTGATCATGGGTGAGCCTGTGAGCGCGGAGGTTGCCTCGCTGAGCGAATGGCTTGTGGCAGATGTCACATTGAAAGGGTTTTTCGCCGGTGTGTCGCCGCTGATGGGTCTAGGTTTTAGCACACATGTCAGTGTCTGCCTCGTGCATCGCAATCGCCTGGCGCGGCAGCTGGTGATGTGCTTACCTTGAGGTTGCCTTGCTGCGAGAAGCGCTGCCCGCATGAGGGTTCCTTGCATATCTGCCCCATTCAAACTGGTTAGTTGCTGTCTTAAAACATTTGATTCAATTTGGATAGACATATGACAAGTGTACTCACAAATGGCTTGTCACCCGTGTGTGCCCTGATATGGATTTCTAGGTGTGTTTTCTGCGCGAAGCTTTTACCACAGCCTGGGAGGGTGCAGTTGTACTTGCGCTTCCTCCGCGATGGCTGAGTTTCATTGGCAGGGTACCGCGGTGGCGTTGGCGAGGCAGTCGGGTAGGATCCGGCATAAGTCTGTGGTGCCGGGGGTGCCGGATGCTGGAGTGCTGGCAGCGATTGCTGGATCAGTAATGAAGCATGCTTGGCCTGAATTGCCTTCATCAGGACATCCACGTTGGTTGAGAAGGCGAGATCAGTGGTGGTTTGCTTCGTCTCGTTTTTTGCCCCGACTGGTGAACTGTGGCTTCCAGTCGAGATATGCACCCGTGGAGCATGGTCGGGAGTAGACTTGATTGTATGGCTGATGGCGTTCTTCGCCGGACGAATCTCTGGAAGAGACTGCAACGGTTGTGCTGTTGTGCGCAGTGGTTGCGGCTGTAACGGGTGCTGACTATGGACAAAGTATTGCTGATAGGGATTCGAGTGTGCATGTGTGTGACCCACAGAGTGACCGAAGCTGTAAGGCAAGCTACTTGAGGTCTGGTAATGCAGCGAGTATGATGCTGTTTGATGCGAATAGAAGGGAAAGTTATGGCTCAGGGTCGAGTCTATCGAGCGTCTGTGTGCAAACGCACTCACGGCATGGCCAGGGAAGTCGTAAGAGACGGGCTCTGAGGTCTCCATCTTGATGACTGTTTGAGGTCTTCCTCTCGGGATCTTTCAGAAAGGTAAGGATACCTTCTCCCTCCGGATCTCCAACGAGATACCAATGTATCTCAATGTATACCTGTCCTCGGGATGTGCTGGGGAGTTTTTTTTTTCTGAATAGTCTTTGACTATGCTCTGAGACCCAATCCCCGGTGATATTTGGGTTCTGGCTGGCAACGAGTTCTCAGAAAGAAGCAAGGATGGGGAAAATAGACAAACCGGCCGGCCAAAGCGCAATCCGTTAGATCTGGATGTATATATGTGAGATAAAGAGGAGAGGAAATAGCAAATATATGCAGGTCATTCATGAAAAGCGAGAAATATAATGATTGACAACTAGTGATGATCTTCCGCATCGACCGTGGCGCCTCCCGATCTAGATATACCTGCAATGGCGGGGGCGACAGGGGGAGGGGAGTCAGCCGGTGAAATAGTTGAAAAGCCCCATTTCGCCTGTATGACGTTTGGTAATTCGATTTATAAAAATTGGGAAAAAAGGGGGGGGGAAGAAGGGCAGTTCAAGGCCAGAGATACATGCAACTGTGTATAGTGTGTCTGATTCGACGATCTCCGTGGGCCGGGGATCCTGGGCGATTGAGGCGACCTGACTCCACCGGAAAATAATAGAAAAAGAAAAAAAGAATTCCAATCAAAGGGACGAACTGGGGTTCCTGGGGTTTCGTGGAGCTTTGGGAGCCCTAGAGAGCCCTGGCCCTGAGGCCCTGAAGCACTGGAGGTGCATTGCATGGTCTATGAAGATGCATTTTGGACGCATCGATTCCTGTACCACAAGGAATAGTAATTTCTCATTAGTCGTAATGTATTTTGATACATTCGGTGTGAAATGTGTGTCAGTCACACGAATATACTCGCAGCCGCGACTGGCGACGAAAGCCTTCAGCTCGTTCCCCTATACTTCTTCCATACTTCCTTCTCTGGATACTTCTGTAACTGATATTGTTGAAGAGACTGACATCTGTCAGACTCATAATCTCAGAAAAAGAAAACACGCAAACTCATCGTGCTGTGCATCTCCCCTCGAGGAGACGGGCCGGGCCTTTCAATGAATTCGCAAGTGGACCGTGATCGACCTGCAGTCGACATGTAGATTATTCAGTCGATCTCGGAGTCAGCAATCGCTCAATGGCTAGCTAGGCCGTAATTACGAGTACTAGGATGCGCCATCCCGATAGTCGCCAATAGCGTCCGATCTCAGCCCATCGAATATCCTAGTTAGCCGCCCAAGGCTTTGGAAAATTCAGGCTGATCTGAATCTCCTGAAGAGCCAATCAAATTGACCTCTCCCATCTAGTGAGATCTGTCTCTGTCTCTCTTTTGAGCCAAGTGGGAGTCGATTGTGGCCCTTAATAGGAGGAATCAATCAGCACGGGCTTTGGATTAGTGTCGATATATTTCCCCTCCCCCCTTAAACTGCGAATGGCTTGGCTCATGGGCCATGTCGATCATAGCTACTCGTGGTCTTAGCTCCATACTGGGAACGATCCGAGAAATGACAGCCATGACCATCTGACACGAGTAACCCTGCACGTCCTGCATCGAGATGAGGTATCGGGACTTGTCAAGAATGGTTCCTGCAGGGATGCGACTAGTCCTCACGAACTACTTCCTGAATGGGCGAAGGCTAGACTATGCATACGCATTAAGCCTAGCTCGGTGCTTTGACGAGATTTGGATCAGCATGTCTCCGTAGGGGGTGTAGGGGATTTGAGGTGTTTATTACCGAGCTTTTGACAAAATATTATTCGGAGTATTCCGTATTCCGTATTCCAAGTCTTTCGGAGTACAAAATGTCGGAGGCTCTGTGGTGATTCAGACGGACAGGGATGTAGTTGGGATGAGATTCAGCTTTCCAGAATGTCCGTGTGACCACTGCCCTTTACATCTACAACATACATGACAATAAACCAGGTGTAAAGAATGGCGATTTTGAAATTGAAAAAGGGAATTCACGTATACACTAAAGCGCACAAAGTGTATAAAGTAAAGAATAGAAACAAAATTCTGCATAAATAAAGCCCACCAAAGCAAAAACATCATATTGCGCCCAAAGGATCAACCCTTTCATCGTCCAGTATACGCCGAGTATCTAGAAAACAAGTCAGCTTACGATCCTGAAACACACTCGGGACAACTCACCTCCAGATTCGTGCACGCATGTCTCCACTGCCGGTCGCGAACAGGTTGCCAGTAGGACTGGGTGCAACCGAGATGACTATTCGGAGTTAGAGAGTCAGAGATGATAATGCAAGCTAGGATTGTATGAAACTCACCAGAGTTCTTGTGGCCTTGAAGCATCATTTGGGCATTTCCAGTCACTGGGTCCCAGAACTGAACACCACGGTCCTTGGAACCACTCATCACCCAAGCACCGTCGGGTGTCAGGCACACACTGAGAACAAAGTCCTATATTGTAGTCAAAAGGTTAGCTTCTGCCTATCTCGCTCAAGTAATCTCAGATCTAACCTTGTGGCCCTCGAATGTACGAATACACTTGCCGCCCTTGACGGCACTGTGAGGGTGCATGCCCCGGGGAACGGTAAGCTCCCAGAGCTTGATAGTCTTGTCCAGACTGCCACTGACAAGGTCACGGCCATTGGGTGCAAACGCGACCGAGTAAACACTGTCCTTGTGGCCATCTGGGCTCTCTAGGCGTTCTACCAGGTATCCAGTTGTAGTGTCCCAAACGCGCACGCTCTTGTCCAACGAGCCCGCGGCTACGTAACGGCCATCCGGAGACATGGCCACAGTAGTGACACCATCCTCAATGCTAAGGGTGTAGACAAGCTTGCCGTCGAGAATATCCCAAAGGCGCACGGTCTTATCTCCACTGCCAGAGGCGATGAATCGACCGTTGCCAGCAAAGTCCAAAGAGTAGATGTCCTGCTCGTGTCCACTGAAGATATGTTTGATGGTGCGCTGGTTGATATCCCAAACCTAGAGCCAATCGCATTCAGTCAGTAATCTTCCTACATAGCTGGTTCCATATAATCTCAAGACTTACCCGAATCTGCTTATCTTCAGCACCAGTCGCAAGATATTTGCCATCCGGACTGAAGCAAACGCTGCGAATGTATAAGTCGCCGTCCTTGTCGACGTTTTCATCCTGCAAGGTGGCCACATTTTGACCGGTGGTCACGTCGAAGATTTGAGCCGAGCGGTTACAGCCTGTAGCCAAGTATTTGCCGTCACGGCTAAAGCGCACACAGCAAACGACGCTGTCGTGGTTCAAGTGATGTACCAGTTCCACATCGAGAACACGCTGGACCTCGGGGTTGAACACGGCATACCAATCAGAACCCTCACGCTTCTGCGACGGAGGCAAATCATCGGGGTTCCAGTTTGCCAGCATATTTCCTGGACGTTCGGCTGTGCGGCCGAGAGGGGGGTTCGGAGGAGTCGGGCGAGGGATCTGAGGGGAAGCACGAGGATCCGGGTAGGCGATGTGCGTTTGCTGGGGGGTACCGGGGCCTGGGGGAACGCGACCACGGCCCTTACCAGGGCCTGGGGATGCAGTAGGAGGTGGAGGCGGCCCATAGCCTAGGAGATGAACAATCCAACAGGTCAGCAAACTGGGCGACAACTTTCATAAACACAACGACATACCGTTCACAGCAGCGCCAGCCGGATATCCTCCAAAGGAGCTCTGCTGGGGTTGCGGCGCGCCAGGCTGAGCGACCGAAGCAGGCTGTTGAAGGGGATGCTGGGGAGGCTGCTGATCCTGGGGAAGGGAAGGTGCAAGACCGGGGCCACTACCTGGTGGGTTGGTCATGATACCGCCAAACAGATTGCTGGGGCCGTGGCCCAAGGCAGGTGGGGGAGCCTGGGAAGGAGCTGTATGAGCCGCCGCGGGTCCGCCGATGTGGGAAGGGATAGATTGCACGCCACGGGACTCAAGTTCGTGTCGCAGCATTCGGATCTCAGCTTCATAGCTAAAAAGGAAAAATGTAATGTCAGAAAGGGTTATTCAAGCTTTCAAGAAGGTAGGAGGGACGAACTCTTGCTTGATCTTGATCTGCGCCTGTTCCAGTTGATAGACCTTCTGACGGATCATCTCCATCTCCTGGAGCTGTCCGGTCACTGCATGATCTGTCAGTTAGATAACACTTCAGCGAATGTCGGAAACCATGGAGCTGCAGTCATTGGGGGAAATGAGCTGCAGCTGCTTGTATGAAATGATTGGACAAGGGGGGGGGGGGGGGGGGGCAGAAAAGCTCGAAAAAACCCCGCAAAAGTGGTGTGGGAAAAAAAATAGACAAAAGGAAATAAAAAAAAAAACAGATACACAATAACCAGGGTTAT